TATAAAAGGGACTCCCTCACTTTCATTAGAGAGCACCCATTATTCATGTGCTGAGGAGCGAGCCCTTATTTTATAAAAAGGACTCCCTCACCTTTATTAGAGAGCATCGTCGCCAGCTAACCAACCGTCTCGCCGCGAATATCACTCCTAACCCATCACTTATGTATTGAGGAGCGAGCCCTTATTCTATAAAAGGGACTCCCTCACCATCATTAGAGAGCATCGTCGTCTACTAAGCAACCGCCTCGCCGCGAGCATCACTCCTAACCCATCACTTATGTATTGAGGAGTGGGCCCTTATTCTATAAAAGGGACTCCCTCGCCTTCATTAGAGAGCATCGCCGCCTACTGAGCAACTGTCTCGCCGCGAGCATCAACTCTAGCCCATCATTTATGTATTGAGAAGCGAGCCCTTATTCTATAAAAGGGACTCCCTTACCTTCAACGCCACAAGCCGAGCCAACCAAGGCAACATAAGCCACAAGCCGAGCAGCCTTGCAACATACGCTATTTCTAGTTGAGCATCATTTCAGATTGAGCACCGCCTCATATCGAGTATCAGTCCTAGACGACATCTAGTTACTTCAGCCCACACATGGATTGAATTTCAAGTCTCCAGCTAAAAGACTATCTTGACTGAAGACTTGGGGGACTACTGTTTGTACCATACTTAGGGCCTCCGTATTTAAAGCTCGTATAAATACTCGGGGGACTCAAATGTAATTATGTAATAAATGAAGGGGAAAATATGTAATAAGTGAGAAGCTCTTATTCTATAAAAAGACTCCTCACTCTCCTTATTGAGGGAGACTAATTCTTAGGCCCTGGGAGAGAACCCTCACTCTCACATTACAGAGGCTCTCTCCCTCTTCAACATCTCAGAGAAATACAATATCAGTGTGGACGTAGCCCAAACATTGGGTAAACCACGATACATCTTGTGTTATTTACTTTCTTGCAGATTCACGGTCGGATTTACGTTGTTCCAAGACTCCTCCGGTTTTGTGCATCAACAAAGACCATCTCCAAAAGAGATTTCAAATTTTAAACATAAAATTTAAATTTGAAGGCTTATGTGGGACATATAAAAAGCATTTATTAAACTTCCTCTGCTGCAATTTCATGTCATGCCATATAGGAATTGGCATTTCGGTTGGAAAACACGAGTGATGTCTTTTTTTACTGTTATTGGTAATGTAGACTTTTTGACATCTCTTTTGGACATGCTCTAAGGTAAGCATAACAAAATATATGGCAATCAATAACTATTATACCTCACTTCGCTGTGCGATACCTTTTTTCTTTGACATGATTAAAAGTTCTAAGAAAATTTTAACAAGTCCGCACTTATCTACCCCCATGATTTTGCTACCAATTCTTTCAAACTATTGATTTTGTTTCCAATTTGCAATTGGCTTAGACGTGGGCTGAAAAATCTGGCCCGAACAAAGTGGAGGTTCTACAGGATAAATGGGTTTGGTCATGGTTTTCCACCGACTACAAGAATACATAGTTTCCAAAGGCCCAACTTCGATTTTGTCATTGGGTTTGCTCTTTCAGTTAAAGGCTAGAGAGACTTAGGTATTGTTTAGTATGCAGACAAGACGGGACGGGACGGGACATAATGGAAAGGGAGCAAAGATGCCCTCGGATGGAAACAAGGAGGAAGAAGAAGGAGACAGAGAGGTTATAATTTTGTGTTCCACAGATGTGGAATGAGTCGTTCCAGGGGGGTGAGGCGGAGCGAAAATTCATCCAAAATTCGTCTAGTGGAACAACGCGTTCCACCCGTTTTAGGCGCACCAAACGTGAGACGGAACGCCTCGTTCCACTTCGTTTCGTCCCGTCCCACGTACCAAATGGTGCCTTAAAGAACGAATTTAACCATTAACTGTTGCATAATTCACAAAATATTGTTAAAACCTATAATCGAAAGAGAAGAAAAGAGAGAGAAGTAAAGAGAAAAGAGGAAGAAGATAAAACTAAAACATTCAATATTTTGATTCATATTTTCAAATGAGAAGGAAGAGACCTCAGTAACTAAATCCTAAAATATCTAAATGGGTTTATTATACTTTTTAGTACATTGATATATATTTTACACTAAGAGAAGAGAGGAGTTCGACAACCATGCAATAGGCAATATAATTTAGTATTGAATTTGCTATTTACGAGATTCGAACTTAAGACCTCTTACTTACAAATGAAGAGAAATACAACTAAACCATAGTACTAAATTGCTAAACTTATCATACTTAAATAGGCCAAACCTAATATGATATCATATAAATATGGTCTAAAAATATAATTTGCCTAACATTTTTTCGTGATAAATAACTTATCTCCAAACCCAAAAGCTAGAACTTAGCTGACACGTCGTCAAACAACGACCACAGTTTCTAAAGTGGTGTTTACAGGTATATCCACAGTCTGTGTGCCACCACGTTCGCCCCCAGTCAATAATCCCCTACACGAACCTATCCTATCCAAACCCATTAATTTTCAAATTTTTACCCAAAATACCCTCCAAAATCCAAATCATCCCCCTACTTAACCAAATATCTCAGTCTTCTCCTTGTAAAATCACATTGTGTTCCCGCCATCCATTTGGACTCTGTAACATTGAATTCATCATCCCAACTTCAAAGTTTAGAAGATAAATGTCAATAAGGTTGCCTGATTAGAGAATCTAAAATTGATTCCCTAACTCACAAATTTAAGAGAGAAACTTCGATACAAATTTCAAATTAGGGCACGTCTCACTAATCCAGCGAAACTAGTGGATTAAGGTAAGGTTAACATGCTATTCTTTTTTTAAAAAGAGATCAGTTGGTGATTTCGGCGTGATAGTCTACTTTTCTGGAGACCGGAAAGACTCACAAAGGTATTTCAGTCTTTCTCAGCTGCCATCATGTGATTCACCAGCCATAAAACGAACCTAGAACATGAGGTGTGAAATACTGGTCTCAAGGTTCTAAAAGACGCTAGACGCTAGTCGGGCAGAGAGCTGGGGTCCTAGGCAGACTAGGCAGATTTAAGTAAATATATTATATTTTGTGTAAATAAGTGTCTGTTTATACTTAAAATATATATAATTTCATTATAAACTACAAAATAGAATGACACACACACACACACATATATATATATATATATGAAGAGGTATTTGAACATAATGAAAACATTGGGAACATGCATATAATGTGTATTCATTTAAGTATTCAATAAGTCTCTTACAATTTATTGGAAAAAAAAATGCAAAAGGAAAGATATCTATTTTCTGTCTAAGTAAGTCGCAACCTATGTGGGTCTGGTCGGGCAAGGCGGGTGCCTAGGCGGTCTAGGCAAGTGCCTCAGCAGGTATATGAGCCTTTTCTTAAATTTCAAACGTCTAAGCATTAATCGGGGTGGTGGCCAACCACCTGGGGTCTAGGCGGGGATTTTTAGAACAGTGACTAGTCTACAAACGTTATTGAAACTAAATATTAATTACATAAAAAAATACACATGTATGCAATTATCACAATTTTTTTATAGGTTTTTATCACAAATAGTCTCTAAAATTGACCCTCACCATCAAGATTGTCCTTGAAATTGAAAATAAAACAACGTAATCCCTGAAAAATAAGTGTCGCAAATCAATGTGGTGCTTCCGTTACAATTCTGTTAAAAATTCTATTAAGTGTTGAAAGTGGCATGGGCCCCATAATTCCTTTTTATTTTCTCACAAGTGGTCCTTGAAATTGACCCGGGATATCAAAATGGTTCTTGAAATTGACTCGCAACATCAAAATGGTCCCTAAAATTGCAAATTACTCAATGTAGTCCCACAAGTAAGTGTCTCAAATTAATGTAATCCTTTTGTTACAATTATATCAAAAATTCTGTTATGTGCTTATGTGACACATAAATGGGTCACACAAGTCTAATTAAATAAAAAAAATTACAAATAGGCTTTAATAATTTAATAGTTAATAAAAAAAATTGTCAACCCAAAAATCTAGTCTTGCAATCACCTTCGATCCTTGTCCACATTTCTCTATCTCCTTTGCTCTCTATTCTCTAAAAAAAAAAAAAAAAAAAAAAAAAATTCTCATTACACATATTGTTACACACTTCGGCACTCTTCACCGAATTGAACTTGGATCGAGATCACCTTTGGTGACGACTTGGCCGATTGGCAATGACTTTTGGGACATTACCGTTAACATTTAGGCGATCAATATCCTCACAATCTTAATCTTGGAGAGATTGTTCAACGCTTTCCTGGTGGTCTGGTGATGCAAAGAACGACAATGTCTACCTTGAGATAATGAGGTTATAACTGAGGTGCGTCTATTGTTGGTTGAAAACTATTTCCACAACCCCTCTTAGGCCTTGGTTAAGCTTTGTGCCTTTGAGAATTTATGGAAGAGATCTCTCATTGGTGTAGGCTTTATTATAAGAAAAAAAAAAAAATTCTATTTTGCAAAAAAGTATTTAGACAACTCTTTTAATTAATTATTAAACCCACATTAGCACATAACAAATTTTTTTACAGAATTGTGGCGGAAGGATCATATTGATTTGCGATACCTATTTTCAAGGACTACATTAATCGATTTTCAATTTCAAACACCATCTTGATAGTGTGGTCAATTTCAAGGACCATGTTCAAGATGGTGAGGTCAATTTCAGGGACCATTTTGATGATGTGGGTCAATTTCATGGACCATTTGTGGTAAAAACCCGTAAATCTTGTGGAGCCTATTTATCTGCCACATCAGCACTTAACAGAATTTTTAACAGAATTGTGATGGAAAGATCACATTGATTTGAGACACCTATTTTTAGACAATACATTGATTGATTTTTAATTTCAGGAACTATCTTGATGGTGAGAGTCAATTTCAAAAATAATTTGTGATAAAAATCTTTATTTTTTTATTTTTTATTTTATTTAAATTTTTTAACTTATTTATTTTTTTATATCAAGAGGTGCAATTATCACCGGGAAACGCTGCCGTGTCGCCTCGTCATCGGTTTCGTCACTCCAACAAGAAAGATATCAGAAACTGAAACGCACCTCATTTTCTCATCAGGCGCTCACCGCAGCATCTTTGCCTTTTACTTGAGAGCTCTCTGCAAAGCCAAATTGCAAGGCCTTCCCCTTCGGCCTTCCTCTCTCTCCTCGCCATTTTTCAGTTCGCTTCAAGCTTCAATTTTCTCTTCTGGGTAACCTTGTTTTCAGCTTATGGACGGCGGATTCGAGCCCCAGGTTTCCATTGACGACGACCATTCTCACCAGAAAGTCAACTCTCTCACCGAGATGGTATCTGGGAATTTCGGGTATCTCTCATTAAGATTCAATTTAATTTAATTTTTTATTTATTTTTGAGCTGAATTTTTGTGATTAATTGTTGTTGGTATGATGTATTTTTGAAGGTGCGCGCATTACAGACGGAGGTGTAAGATCAGAGCACCCTGCTGTGATCAGATATTCGATTGCAGGCATTGCCATAACGAAGCTAAGGTCTGTTTTTTTTTTTTTTTTTTGGTTTTCGAGTTTTTATTGATTTCGTGATCGTTGTGAAATTCGGCCTCTTATGATTGTGGTAATATGTTTATTTGGAGCAGAATTCATTGGAAGTTGATCCTCTTGATCGCCATGACGTTCCTCGCCACGATGTGAAAAGGGTCAGTTGCTTTTAGACCCCCTCATTAATCACATCAATGTCGAGTTTGATACCAATTTATTCCCTCATCTTGGTGTAAATTTATCTTTATATAGAAAAAAAATAGTTAAGAAGAAAAGGAATTTGGAAATTGGAATAGAATTAGAAACTATTGTTGGGCATTTTTCTCCATGGAGATCTGATTTTATCTGGGTTTTGCTGGATGTGAATTTGCTTTCCATTTATGTTTGCTAATCACGTGTAGCGTTAAAAGGGTTAACATTAGAAGATCTAAACTTGATGGATAGGGTGTATATTATGCCTCTTTCCTGTTATTCCCCTCGGCCCTCGTCATACCATTTTCTTTTGAAGTTGTTAATCATTGGGAAATGTTACTGATCCAGTTTTACTTTGGTTGCCTTGCCTTGTATCTTTCAGATCATCTGCTCCTTGTGCAACAAAGAACAAGATGTAAGCCTTGTTTTTAGAAAATTCCGATAATGATAATTGTATTTCGAAATCTAAGGATTGAGGTTAATGGATTCTCAAGCTCTGATATCTTTTTCAGGTTCAACAGCTCTGTATCCAATGTGGGGTTTGCATGGGAAACTATTTTTGCTCCAAATGCAAGTTCTTTGACGATGACGTAAGCCCTGAATTCTAATCTGCTGAAAAAAAGAGAGATTCTTTAGTTCATATTCTCATAATTATAAACCCTGTTTTGAAAACACTTGCATCATCGAAAAATCCAAGTTTTTATTTTTGCTAGGTTTCGAAGAAACAGTATCATTGTGATGAATGCGGTATCTGCAGGTTGGACTTTTTTCTACACTTTTGTGTTTGATTTTGTCGTTTGTTTTCTTGTTGCTATGTTCTTAAATTGTTATGAATACGTTTTACCTTTCATTATCTTCTGTCCAGAAAAGTTTCTTCATCGATAAGTCTTTGCACGTGTCTAAGTCTGTTTGAATTGTTTTTACAGAACTGGAGGTGGGGAGAATTTTTTCCACTGTAACAAATGTGGTAAGATGTTAACCTTTGGTTTTTAATTTTTACATTCTTTAATCATACTTCTATAGATAGTCTAATTTAGATATCTCTATCTATATTTTAGGATGTTGTTACTCAAATGCGTTGAAGGATTCACACAATTGTGTGGAAAAAGCAATGCATCATAATTGCCCTGTGTGCTTTGAGGTAAAGTTTGGAGGATACCATGTCCAAGTATTAAGGGAAATTTGGAAAGTTAACATTCTTTCTAACAAACTAATGACTTTTAGCCTCTTTTTCAAGATTTGGATATATATCGAGGCTCCCTCGAGTGGTTAAAATTCTAATAGTTAAAAAAATGGACTGAAAGTTTTGAACAAATTTAAAAATTACAAGTATTATATACTGAGTTTTCTGCGTTGTAGTGCGCCAACTCACATCAGTATTTGTGCAGTTTCTTTTCGATACAAGGGAAGACATTACTGTCTTGCGATGTGGACACACTATACATTTGGAATGTGTAAAAGAGATGCAGCGGCATTTCCAGTAATTCATTTTTGTTTTCAAGATATTTATATATGCTGATAATCTGATATAGGTTGTTACAAATGGTAAAGAAACTGTAGCCATATTAAATGTATAGAACTGTGCAGGTATTCGTGCCCAGTTTGCTCAAAATCATTCCGCGATATGTCCCGTGTGTGGGAAAAACTTGATGAGGAGGTAAATCTAGGATTCGATGATTCAATTTAATGAGTGGTATGACTACCTCTTAGTTACCTGTCTTTCTTGTTTACCGATCTCTTTCAAATCAATTTTCAGGTTGCGGGGACTCTCATGCCTCTAAAGTATCTAAATAAGATGGTATGTATACCCAGATGATCACTTTCTGTGGCTTCTGCAACTATTAGGTAATTAAATTTTGCACTTTTGGTTAGGTTTGGATCCTCTGCAACGACTGTGGAGAAATATCTGAGGTCAATTTTCACATTGTGGGACACAAGTGCCTCAAGTGCAAATCCTACAATACAAGGAGAACACGAGGAGGGCCAGCATCATGCTCGTCAAGGATTACTGCAACGATGAGGTGACTAACCTCTAGATCAAAACTTATGATGTATTACTTCCCAAATTATATAAAAAAAGTCAGCGTTTAGTTGTGACGGGGGGAAAATTGGTATTGCCAGTCCCTCTGTTACCAATCCCTCTGTTCTTAGGCCAGTAAGTTTCTCCATAGGTTTAGTCGCAGGAAATTTGGTCATATTTGAGACAATTTTCGTATGCTAATGGGTAGGGAAAAGCATTTTGCATTTGAAATGGGAATCCATTGTATGAGGCTTCATCAATGGAAAGTGCTACAACGTTTCAGTAACTATCATGAAATAAATATGTAATACAGTTACAAATAGGTATGCAACTTCTGAAGTACATATAGATTTATTGAAGAGAGAAACTGAAAGCAAACGTAGACCTTCTGAGATAGACTTGAACACACAGTTTCTGTAGTACATATAAAATTTGCCAAGATGTTAGTTATGAATGTCTCACTTGCTGAACGATGAGCCGTGGAGCTTGACCTCCCGGTCATTTAGAGGTTGTACTGGTCTTGAATTCATCTCTGCATACTGCATTCAGACAAATCAAGAGGAGTTAGTAGGTGTGGCTGGTTATTTGGAAGAATCACTTCACGAAGACATGCACGCTACTCACCTTGTAAACGGCTTTTTGAAGCAACGCCACCTGTGATCGTGAAACTGTATGAACCTGCGAACACTTTGTAATCAGCTTGGTTCTCGTTTTCGGGTACCAAAATGTGAATTCGCAAGAGTTGGGAAAATTTTTCAGGGCAGATGAAGTGGCTGTACCTGTTTGTTTATGGTCCAAGTAACTCCTTCGGTGCAAGGAGGGGTTGTGAACGATCCCATGTATCTGTAAAATTTTGAGCTCATCCTCTTCATCTTCCTCTTTGCCGCATCCTGCTTCCCCTTCTGAGCCTTTTTCATCTTCCTCGGATCGACCACTCCCAAGTGGACCTCCGTTGGCTTTTTAATCATAGACCGTATCGCCTTTCTCACCTGAAAAGTAGGAACACCACCATTGATCTTCCTATATTCGCCTTTTCTAGCTTTTACTGAAACGAGTTTTTACAGCGTAATGATGGGAGTTTTAACCTGTGTGATGAAAGGATTGGGTTTGCCGATTTTGTAGAGGAATCCAACCACAGCTACACGAGTGTTGCTCGTGTCTTTGTGAACCATGTGCAGTTCCACATCATAGGTTTTGCCATCGATGGTGTGCTCGGAGGGCGCGTGCCAATGGCATTGCCGGAGCAAGTATTCTGTGCCGTTGATCGTGACTCCTCCGGCATCACCCTCCCACACAACCTGCTTTGTCAAAATTACAACAAAAGCAGTAAAAACTCATGCCGTGGACGGTGAATAAAACAAGAAAACAGAAACGGGATTTCACACTTTCTTACCGAAATAGCATGACCTTCGTTCTTCATCAAGGCTTGGGTAGGCTTGTAATGGATTTTAAGATGATCCAAAGTTGAGTTAACTTTGTCTGCAATGGCATCCCTCAAATCTATAGGTGATTGTAGTTTTCCATCCTTACATGTGCTCCATTCTTCCTTAAGGTCTCCCCAATATTCTGGTCCTCTCTTGTCCCCTTCAGTGTATACAAATTCTATGGGATCTTCTGCACCAAAAATCCAAACTCAATAAGATTGCGATGTCCAAACGTGAGTCAGGCTAGTAGGCCAGAGCACTGTGCCCTCCCAATGCCCGAATTCCAATCCCCATTGATTCCCATAAATTAAAGCAGTTTAGAATATTGTTTTCTAAATGAATGACGTTTATGATGATGAATAAGATGACGACGATGTCGAAAAAAAAGCAAGCATATAGACATTACCCTCATTGGAAAATTTGGAAGCTCTAATGGGTGATGCATCCCAGCACAGAAGAAACAGTGTGAATGCAATGAAGCCAAGGTGGATTTGCTTTGATCCAAACATGTTTTGAGAGGCAATTGTCACAAATTGCTATACCCCCAAGATCTCTTCTCTCCTGGGTTTTATTTCAAAATGTGTTGCAATTGCCAATAGATGGAAAACCAAATCACAAATTCTCCATGATGTGCCAGTCCCTTTTTGTGCTTTTTTAATTTACTTTTTTTGGATTTTTGGTGGGTAAATTTACTTGTTTTGTACCGAAATTTTGGAAGTTGTAGTAACTAAATGTGGTTAATTTACACCCAATATAAATATATATGACTGTTGTAAAACCTCTGGCCAGTATGTCCCTCTCATTCTTTTAACTCCTTGATTTATGTAATTAATCTCTCTGTCTCTAACAAAATATTTCTGTCCGCAAATCATTCTTGTTATAATTATCTCTAGATTAAGGGGAATCTAAGTTTCGTAGACTGAGAATAAAAAATATAGCTACAAAATTAACTCAGGAAGCAAAAATACCATCAACGGTTGTTTTGGTGTGGAGGTACACATATTCATGTCCTTTTTTTGGATACAACTTATTCATGCTTTCGATTTTTATGGATATGTTTTTAGTAATGTATGAGTTTGAGTTCTACTCTTAATATGAGTGAGATCAAACTATATATATTTGGTGTATGTGTTTTGGTAAGAGGTGGTTAAAACCTCTTAGGAAACTGGTTACATCCGACTCCATGACAGGACGAGTGGTTACCAACAGACCTGATATTCGTGTCGTGTTTTTTGTGTTTGTGTTGTTTTAGTGTCATACTTGATATTTTAACGGGTTGTGTCGTGTAATACCTCTTAAAATAAACGGATAAATGACCCAAGCCAAACTTGATCCGTTAATAAGTAATATGGCCCGATCCAAATCTTGTTAAAGAAAACATATTTTAAACCAATAAATAATCAAATTGTTGTAAACATTCCTAGTTTAAGTATGATTGTGTAAATCCTAGATAAGATTTGATTCTAGTTATCCTTTCCTATTACAACTTGTATTACTTGGAGGAGAAGGAATATCTTCTCTCCCTTTACTACTATAAATAAAGGCACAATGTAGGAGGGATAACAACACACACACATTCCCCTACAATTCTACAAACACACATCTCTCTCCTCTCTCTCTCTGCCGCCGGCCCTAGTCCCTCTGTCAGATAAAATAGACCACAACACGTTATCAACACGCTCTTCACGCTGTGCTTAGAAGCATTTAAAGAGAATTTATTCGTCTAAAATCAGGGGAGTATTACGTTTCAATTATTTTTAATTGATTAAATCTTGATTTTATTGAATTCGTATATTGTTATTGATTCAATTTATTTTTCTTCTTATGTTGAACGTGATACAAGCTTGAAGATGAAAGCCGAAATTGAAGAAATAATTTTTCTGCATCAAACCAGTTCATCTATATCATCACGCAATCAGGTTCTTTCTAAACAACGGCTTTTAACTCGATATTTTGCAAGCCCTGATAGCATGAACATTCACCATGATGCATGACCCAACTTTACGTTTTACGTATTTTAGATTCTACATAAATTGTGTATGCTTCATAATCAAAATTGCTACAATTATGTGAATTTGATATTTGTCATGAATTGAATCCTACATATGTACATGCATTGAAACTATTATTTGCATATGCATCAAAGTAAATATGTGATTCATTGAATTATATATGCATCTAATACAAAAAAAAAAAAAAAAAAAAAAAATTCTGGGCTCGCATGGAACGGCCCGAAAAAAAAAAAAAAAAAAAATAATTTAGGGCTGCACACAGCAGCCCATTCCCCTCTTCTCACCCCGTGGGCCTGTAATCCCACCCGAGGGTTCTTGGCCTATATTTTTAGGCCCCGAGATTTTATTATTTAATTTTTTTTAAATAATATGGGTTTTCACCCACATTTTAATTTGGCCCCGAAGACCAAAAATAAATTAATTCACTTATCATTATACAATATTTCTGCATATATTCTTTGCATATTTGTTTGCATATATATTTGTGTTTGCCTGCAGGAATATATGAACCTCAAGTTCATAATTACTTTGAAATCCGAAGTTTCTTATACACATGCCTTGTTTGAAAACCCGAAGTTTTCACTTAAATATATCACCCATGAAAACCCGAAGTTTTTCATGCAAAATTAAACCAATACATGTCTATTAGAACCTGTATGTTCTACTCCTATGTGAATGGATTGATTTTTCTCCATTACACTAACCACATCTTGTCCATCTATTGTGATAGGAACATGTCGAACTTGAACAAACTCGACTTCACCGCTTTGGAGGTTTCTGGAAGGAACTACCTCAAGTAGGTTCAAGATGTGAAGCTCCACCTCACTGCAAAGAACTTGCGTCCTGCTATTGAAGAAGCAACAGATAAACCTGTTGGCGAGGCCTGAAAAAGCCACTGCTATGATCTTCATCCAAAGACATATCCATGACGCTCTACAAACTGAGTACCTTGCTGAGGAGGATCCACGTGCATTATGGGTCGCTTTGGCTGATCGTTTCGATCACCAAAATGACATATTCTTGCCTGAAGCAAGACACGACTGGCAGCACTTGCGCTTCCAAGACTTTAAGTCTGTGAATGAATATAATTCTGAAGTTTGTCGAATCCGATCACTTCTCAAGTTTTGCAATGAAACTTTGACTGAAGAGGATCTCCTGGAGAAGACCTACTCGACCTTCTCTGCCTCTAATATTGTCCTGCAGCAACAATATAGAGCTCAGAAGTTCACTAAGTTCTCGGATTTGATCTCTGTTTTACTTCTTGCTGAAAAGCAGAACCAGCTGTTGATGAAGAATCATCAAGCTCGACCTACTAGGGCTACTGCTGTGCCTGAAGCACATTATAGCACTCATTAGCACCCAAAACGCCAAAAGAGGCGTGGTAAGGGCGGCCAGAAGCCATCCCACCAAGGTCAACAGAGCCAAGGCCCATCCAAGGGAGGAAACAAAGCCCAGAAGCGCCCAAACCTCGCTCCCAAGGCCCCGAACTTCAAGAATAAGGGCAAAGCACCTGCCACAATGAATGACGATATGTGCTATCGTTGTGGTTCCAAGGACCATTGGTCCCGTATTTGCCGTGCTCCCAAAAAGGTTGTGGATGCATATCATTCTCGTCGTACGAAGTTTGAATCAAACTTCCTGCAAGTGGACGAACCGGAGACTACAAAGATGGAGGTTTCTGATTTTCAGGAGGATACCACTCCTATGGAAGATTAGAATCTTAGACATAGACTTATTTTTCAGTTAAAATAAGACAATTGGGGCCGAATTCCACCTTGTGGCCGAACCCCCCCTTGTTTTTGGTTGATTTTGAACAATTTTCCTTTATGTTTTGGATTATTAGTTGGCGATTTATTTTGGATATTAAGTTTTTTCCTTGAATAAATGAAATTATTTTGAATTGATACTTGTTTTTATAAACTTTTATGCATGTGACCAATTCAAATTAATTTTTCATTCTAGGTATGACTAGTGGGAAAGTTAGTTGTCTGGCAGATCGTGCAACCACGCATACTGTTTTGCGTGAACGCATCTATTTCACTAACTTCGTACCTAAAAATGCACCTCTGACAACCCTCTCAGGCCCATCCAACCTGATCGAAGGATACGGTAAGGCACGTATAATGTTGTCCAATGGTACAATCTTGACCATTGCTGAGGCACTCTATTCTCCACGTTCCGGAAGAACGTTACTAAGTTTCAAGGACATTAGAGATAACAATTACCACGCTGAAACCCACGTAGAAAACGGAGTTGAATTTCTGTGCGTAACTTCCTACGAATATGGTCAGAAGCGTATTCTAGAGAAGATGGAGCGTAACCCGAGTGGTCTGTATACTACGACCATACGCCCCATAGAATGCCACTATGTGGCCGGCCCTACCACAGGGACCGCGCACGAAATTACACTTTGGCATGATCGTTTGGGACATCCTGGACGAATAGCGATGCGCCGTATCCTCAAAACTTCACACGGGCATCCACTAACCCGAAGCTTAGGTTCGATCCATGAAATTGCATGCCAAACATGTTCTATGGGAAAGCTTATTACTAAGCCTTCTTATGATAAGATTCGTTCGAATCCTCCCATTTTTCTACAACGGATTCAGGGGGACATTTGTGGACCGATTCAACCTCCCTGCGGACCATTTAGATATTTTATGGTTTTGGTTGACGCTTCTACACTTTGTCACACGTGTGCTTGTTGTCCACAAGGAACGCTACATTCTCCAAACTGTTGGCTCAGGTTATCAAGCTCAGAGCTCACCACCCTGATTATCCGATCAAATCTATTCGATTGGATAATGCTGGAGAATTCACATTTAAAACTTTTGATGACTATTGCATGTCGGTTGGGGTTGAAGTTGAACATCCTGTACCCCATGTTCACACCCAGAACGGCCTGGCAGAGGCTTTCATTAAGCGTTTACAAATGATTGCTCGATCGTTGGTCATACGTACCAAGCTCCCGATCGCTGCTTGGGGCCATGCAATATTGCACGCAGCAAAGTTGGTCCGCCTGAGGCCTGTTGCGACACAACCATTTAGTGCCCTTCAGTTGGTCACCGGATGCGAACCCGACATATTGCATCGGCGCGTTTTTGGTTGTGCGGTCTATGTGCCGATCTCGCCGCCCTTACGTACAAAAATGGGGCCTCAGCGAAGGATGGGAATCTATGTCGGATATGATTCTCCTTCGATTATTCGTTACTTAGAACCTTTGACAGGCGATCTGTTTACCGCTCGTTTCGCGGATTGTCACTTCTATGAGACAGTCTTCCCGTCGTTAGGGGGAGATAAGAACGTCAACGTTCCTAATGAACGACGCGAATTATCGTGGATGACTCCCACTTTGTCTCATTTAGATCCCCGCACCGCTCAGTCTGAAGCTGAAGTGCAGCGCATATTAGATCTCCAGAGCATAGCTCAGAGCATGCCAGATGCTTTCACTGATCTAGCGCGCGTGACAAGATCACATATTCCAGCTGCGAATATGCCTGCAAAGATGGATGTACCAAATGTACGACGGACTACCCT